GACAGAAACAGACGTCAGCATAGCAGGTCACTCAGCACAGTTCAGCTCTGTGTATGAAACAGATTCTAGCCCTTGTCCCTGTTTCATGATGTTGCAGTGAAGGAAACAAAACAGACAAAGGGCACAGAATGCAGAAAAGGATTTTAAAAGGATGACTTTTAAAATGTGCACCTGCTTTTCAAGGGCACAATGAGGACACTACCAAGTATATTAAAGCTGATCTATAAGAGACGGGTATAAAGACTCTACAAGGTCATTAGACTTACAAAGAAAACAAATAACATTCTCCTAGCATCACGAGTCAGGTGTTCCACAAACACTAAGAATAGCCACTGCAACGGGGATCCACTATGAGGTGTCAAAACATAACCCAGGAAGCGTGGCCGAGAGCTCCTATAACCTGATTTCTAGGAATCTAATTTTAAACATCCTCACAGCTAGCACATCACAAAAATACAGAGCTCCAAATGCCGTAACACAAGTGCTAACAACACCTAGCCAAAAATATACGAGGCATTTCAGGCAAAAATCCCAGAATCAGAAGAACACAAGTTTTATAAGTTCTTCAAAAGCTGGTGCTGGTTGAGGCTCTTCTGCAGACTTCAACAAAAGACGCTAGAATTAGCCATTGACGGTAACCCTGAGTCAACACGCACCGTGTTCGGAAAAGCACAAGGCCTGCTCTGGGCTTGAGACCCTGGGAACTTTCCCGCACCGAGTGGTTGACTTTGAGAACTCAAAATAACCAACAACCAGTCCATGAACAGAGAAAGAAGACTGCAGCCTCCCTGGGGACCTGGCTCCATGCCTGCCCGCTTTCTTCCGGGTACCTTTGCCCTTCCCGGCTCCCTGCTACACCTGGAGATGCTCTGGGTTCAGGCCCCTCTCCAGCTGTGTCTTGCTCCACGGCTGGCTGCCCGTGTGAAGCCCCAGGCCTTGAAGGACCATCTCCACCTGCTCCCTGCACTTCCCACCCACTTCCGTCATGACGCCCAGGCTCTGGCTGCTCTCAGGGATCAGGGCCGCCAGGCTCCCCTCGCAGGCTCCAACTGGAGTCCTGCCCCCTGGTTTTCAACAACACTTGGGACTTTCTCCTGGAAACTCTCGGCTCTGGGCTTTAGTGAACTGCGCCATCCAGCTCTTCTCTGGACTCTAAGCAGGGCCTTTTCTGGGTCTTCCATCCCTGCCTCCATTTCCAAATGTGGGCTTTCCTTTGGCCTCCTCTCTCCAGACATGCACGCCTCACACTCTGGCTACTTGACCTGCACTTCTATGTAAGAGGCTCCCAAATGCACCCTGCTCCAGATTTTCCCCAAGCCTCCTCCTGTATTTCCAAACTCGCAGCTTGCAGTGGTGTCTGTAAGTATCTCCGAGTCAGGTCCACACTTGCTTCTCCTGATTTCCAGCAAAGCGCAACGCCGACCTCGGGGTGCAGACTGGCAGCTTCTTCCGCCTTCCTGCACTCCCTCTTCCCATCCTGACCCAGGCACCGAATCGCTCAGCTCACTGGCTGCCTTCTCTCCTCCTCTCGCCACGGCGAGTGCCCTGCATGAGCCTGCTCTGTCCCTCCGGCTCCACGGCGTGCCGCACATCAGAGGCGATTCTCCCCGAAACCCTCAGCGGCTCCCTCGTATCCGACAGGTAAGGACTTCCACATTCTGGTCCCAATCTAACTTTCTGGCCTCAGATATGCACATGCATATTTTATCTATGCAAAGAGAGTACAGGCCTCACACCTGCTCTCATTCCTGGGCTCCTAGCTCCTCCTGAAGGTGCTGTATGAGGTACCTATGCACCTTCCAAACACTGAGTGAATACGCACTTGGAGAACATTTACTTGATAATTTTGTGACATTGCCAGATAACGTGGACAAAGTGAGAACTACGCAGGTGTGTGGATGCCGCCTTGCCCAGACCTCACTCACCCAGACACTCCCAGATGCTCAAGGTGACCAGCCCTATTGGCACACAGGCAGGCGCAGGCTGCACCCCCACAGCTGGGCCCCGCGAGCTGAACTCTAACCATGAAGCAGCTGTTTGCTCCTAAACCTGTTCTGGCCGGTGTACTTGTTACACATTACTGAAACCAGTAAAGTATGACTCCAAAGAGAGAATAACTGTATGAAAACCAAGTTGGATGCCTTTCAAAGACTTGATAGAGGTGAATTTTTATTTCATTTTAATCTTTTTTAAATTGCTATCAAATTAGGTATGGGCAAAAATTATATACAATGTTTGAGGAAATAATTTTTAAAGGTTCCCAATCTAACTTGTTTCTCTTGTGTTGCCTTTTCTCTTCTAGAAGAGTCAAAACTGTGGCAGGCCTGCGATGGCTGTGGTTGAGGAAAGAGGCCACACCCACAGCCAGCAGAACCACGCTCAGCAACAGCCTAGCCCCGCGTGGAAGAGGTGTGAACACTCTTGGGAGAGGTGGATGTGCACTAACGGTTCCCAGCTCTGACCTCTTTGATTAACTGAATATGGTGATTGGTTTTATCTGAACGTCAGACAAAAGGGTGTCTACGTCCAGGAAAGACTCTAAACATTCTGGACCCATCCTGGGGCAGATGGTGACCATGACCAGTGATACCACTCTCCAGGGGGCAGCATGGTCTGCAGAGGGGGAGACCCCTAAGGCAGCCCTACCCCAGCGTGGGTGAGTTTCTGTTGTAATTCTATGTCCAGTGTAAATAAACTGTGGAAAACTGGGAGATGGTACAAGAAAGCAAGGATGTCAACTAAATGAATAGAAAGATCTACAAGGGAAGGCTGAGATCGGCTGAAATCAGCTAAAATAGGCTTGGGAAAGTAAAGGCCAGGCTGGAACTTCGTAATGGCTTTCGAGGCTCGGGAACACGGACGGTAGCTGCCCTGTCCATCCCAGGAGAGAACAGACGGGCTTGGTTGGAAAGCACTTCCCTGACTAAAAGTGTCTTTAAAAAGGGAAATCTCAGAATTGCCCTCCCTGGAACGCTTTAACCCTTCATGGAACACAGCAGAAATTCCACAGCCCTGCATCCCAGGAAGCAGGGACAGGACAGCAGCCTCCAGCACACAGAAGCACTTAGAGGCATAAGCAGCTATGCAAAGATGGCATGATCCGTGCCTCAAAAAGGCCAAGATCTCTGAGAAATAAAGTTGTATGCAGATTTACACCTGGGCAGCTTGAAATGCGTGTGCCATGACAGTTCCGGAAGCTTGTCTACTCGAAGGTCCGCATTCAGGTACGTTTCACAGTCACCACAACTAGACTTTCAGAAATTTAAAACTCCTAATAAAGAAGTGCAAACCTGCACATCTCACGCCACCACCTAAAGCAGTGGTTCTCAAGTAGGGGCGATTCTGCTGGGGGGAGGGATGCTGATGGCATCGTGGGAGGCAGAGGTCTGACACTCAGCACCGCAGGCACCGAGAACAGTCTCCTCCTCACAAAGTCTCCCCACAAGGGCTCCGGGGGGCCACACCAGAGGATGGGAGGCAGGGGTGACACTCAGCACCGCAGGCACTGAGGACAGCCTCCTCCTCACAAAGGCTCCCTACAGAGGCTCCGGGAGACCACACCAGAGGATGGGAGGCAGGGGTGATGCTCAGAATTGCAGGCACCGAGAACAGTCTCCTCCTCACAAAGGCTCCCCACAAGGGCTCCGGGGGGCCACACCAGAGGATGGGAGGCAGGGGTGACACTCAGCACTGCAGGGACCAAGGATAGCCTCCTCCCAGGAGAAAAAAAAAAGACAGGAAAAAACAAAGGCTCCCCACAAGGGCTCTGGGGGGCCACACCAGAGGGTGGGAGGCAGGGGTGATGCTCAGCATCACAGGCACTGAGGACGGCCTCCCACAAAGGCTCCTCTGGGCCAGAGCATCCATAGTGCTGAGGGGAAAAGCCCGGACACAAAGGATCAAGTGTTTTCAACGTAGCTCAGGGCATCTCCACACAGGAACTCCCATCTGCCTGTTGTGCAAAGTCTGGGGACTTGCAATCAATAAACCTTCACAAGACACAACACATGGACCTAACAATTCTATTTCGCTCTGGGAGAGAGAAAAGAAGGAATGGTTTGGGGAGATGCATTGAAATTCCGTGAGTTCTTGACTAAAAATCACCAAGTCCGCTGTGTTCTGTTATCAGCAGTCCTGGGTAGGCCCAGACCCACCTCACCCCCAGCGGGACCCAGGCAAGGCTTTAAACCCCAAACGTCCCTTTTCGTAACACTGGCTGTTTCGTGTGGTTAATAAATCATCCAATAAGATGACACGCATAAGCCTAGTTATAAACCTGACACATTAACGCTATTGATCATTGTCAGACATCCGGGTTAATCAACTTCACAATGCTACAGAGAAATCATTGGTACTAAGAGTTGTAAGGATGATTTTTTTAAATTTATGTACCTCAATTTTTATAGTTACTTTTTACATTTTAAAAAATGCATATTCTAAAATATTTTTGATATTTTAAAATGTTAATGTATCAAGCATTTTAAAACGCACCAAATATATATCTACTAATACATAGGGAATTTTTAAATAAATATCAGGGTAGAAGGAATTAAAACTCCTAACATAACACTAAATAGACAGGAAAAAACAAAGTAGAGAGTTCTCACAGATTCCTGAAGGAATATATTGTAACAAAGCTCAAAAAGTACATTAAAACCTTTATAACTATAAAATGTTTTAATTACCAACTAACAAGAAACTATTTACTGAATCGCGACTAGCAGATCCCCAAATCTGTTCAACACCTGTACCCTAGCCTGGGTCTGCTGAGGAACAGATCGATTCTGTTGGAGTTGACCTCGAAATTAAAAAAAAAAAAAAAAAACAGCTTTAAAGATTTAGATTTCCTGAATAAAACAGAAAATAAAAATAACATTCCTGCACCTGTGAGTTGACTCTAATTTATTTTTTACTTTGGATGGCTCATAAAATATACATAGATACCTTCACCATGCTTTATATTATATACTCGTGACTCTTAATTCATTATTAACCTCACTCTGTAGCTAAATTCTAATACTAATCATGGTGGCATCATTAAGACATTGTTCTAGGTGCTTTTTTAACTGAAAAAAAATGGGGGATAGGTAATAAATAATTATGTAATCTAAAGGAAAAGTTCGAATTGTATGAGTCCAGCAATGCTATCATCTAGCATGGAAAATACTTTCAACAGTTCCAGGAAAGTTCACATAAGAAACACTAAATAAACTCTAAGTCCAGTATGAGTCAGAGACATTTCCAACAGAAAAGCACACGCAGTGGGTTGGGAGCGCCTGGATTTTCTCTAGCAAAGACTCGCGGAATCCATGCTTTCACCGCCACGGGACGAGGCACACGCGGCCTGGGACGCGCCTCCACCCTCCAGACCCACACGCTGCGCGAAACCACAGCCAGATTCTCACACTGGGGAATCCCTGGGCGAAGACCTCACGTGACTTTCCTCCTCGGCAGCTTCCCCAAAACAAAACACATCAATCCAACGAACCCGAGAGCGAACGGAAACCAAGAGCCAGGCTTATCTCTTACAGGAACACTCCATAAATCTCAGACGAAGTCCCTCATCCTTCCACACCATCTGCTGATAAGAGGTCAATGGTCAGGTGGAAATCACTCAGACAAGCGCTTTCCCTCCCCCAGCAGACGTGGACGTCTTCGCCCTGGCGTTTATGGGGCGCCCTAACTTTTAAGCGCTGGCCGTCCCCCACGCAGGCCGGCAGGGCCCTGGGAAAGCAGAGGCCCCGCAGCTCCTCCCTGGACGCGGGCTACGGTGGAGGAGGGGAGAGCGGCTGCGAGTTCGTGGCAAAGAAGGGCTATTTGGAGTAACACAAGACCACGTAACACAGGTAATTGTGAGTTTTTGTTTTCTCCGAACTGGCCTCATTATTATTAATTATTCCTCCAGCACCTACTGGGAAGGTGAGAAGAAAGCAAAGGGCGTCACTCCCCACCCGCGAAAGCCTCGCAGCATCCCTGGAAAAGCGACCGAGAAGAACGGCTGGTCTGCGTTCGGAGCGGGTGAGCGGCAGGTGAGAAGAACCCAGAGCGCCCCGCCTCCCTCCCTGGCCGCCCTCCTGCACCGATGTGAACACGTGAGCAACAGCCGCGTGGGGAAGCCGCTGGCTCCCAGAGCCCGGGGCGCTGCAGCAGAATCACCGAGACTGAGATCTGCGGCCTGAGTTGGGGCCGGGGAAACCACGCCTGCAGGACTGCAGGGAGCAGCCGGTTTCTGCACAGGTAACATGGAACTGGGGGGTAAGCAAAGCTGACGAGGTGGGCCCGTGGCCCGTCTGCGCACAGGTATTAATAGTTCAATAGCCGTGGTGGCAGCAGCTGAGCAGGCTACACAGGACGCAGCTGGGGTCTGGACCTGGGCCTGGGGGCCGGTGGAAGGCACGTGTGTTGAGGCGTGTAGTCAGGGCCGGCCTACTTCCCCAGGCCTACAAGGACAAATGTAGCTCCCCAGGAAACACCACAGGCAGCCCCTGCCGGCAAGCTGCCCCAAGAAGTAGTGAACCCCCCAAAATCAGAAGCAGCCAAGCTGACCCCCACCTCATCTAAAAGAGCAGGGCACCAGGGAGAGGGCACCCACCCAGTCTCCTAATCGTAAAGGACATTCATAGCAACACCACAAAAAAGAAACACTACTGCTCTGACCTGGAAAAGTGAAATTTAAAACATAAAATATACAGGTTCTAACTAAGAGGCAGACAGACCGGGCGCGGTGGCTCATGCCTGTAATCCCAACCCCTTGGATGGCCGAGGTGGGTGGATCACTTGAGGTCAGGAGTTCGAGACCAGCCTGGCCAACATGGTGAAACCCCCATCTCTACTAAAAATGCAAAAATTACCCAGATGTGGTGGTGGGCACCTGTAATCCCAGCTACTTAGGAGGCTGAGGCAGGAGAATTGCTTGGACCCGGGAGGTGGAGGTTGCAGTCAGCCAAGATTGCACCACCGCACTCCAGCCTGGGCAACTCCTTCTCAAAAAAAGTAAAATAAAATAAAAGGCAGACAAACAAAAGGACATTTCCTCTGATCTTAAAAACAGAAGTATTTGTTTCACAGCCTGGATAATTGAAGATCTGCATAGAAGTCACCTAGGGCCCTGCCCTCCCTCACAACAGACTGGGATAGAGGGAAGGAGGGCAGGAGGTGGGCCCCTTGTCCACCAGAGGCTCCTACTGCCCCATCCCCTTCCTCAGGAGGGCAGCCTGCCCAATGCAGGCTCCCTTCTCCCCAGGTAAGACCCTGGCGTCTCTACAGGAACACCCGCCTCCCTTCCCTGCAATCCACTCCAGCTGCTCACGGCCAGTCAAGGGGGGCGCTCTTCAGGGAGGAGCAAACGGTTTCGGGGAGAGCCTGAACTCCAACGTCCCAGGTGTGGCTTGCCAGGGAGCACAGAGGAAGGATGCAGGTCCCGAGAAGGAGGAGGCACAGGAGGATGACGAGAGAGACAAGAGAGGCAGACTGC